GGGGCATCGAGATCATGAAAACGGGCCAAAAGAGGACTGCGATGCGCCGATGACGGTCTAAGAGGTGTCGAACACGCTCAAAGATATCAGAGCTTCGCAAAGGGTGTTCAAGTTGACCGAAGAGCCCTGAAGACGCCACAGGAGACCACCAGGAGGCCTTAACATAATTCCAAAAAGCTTGCGGAGGGGATTCGCAGCAGAGGGCCACACCGTTGAATGCCATTATTGATATGATGTTGTTTGTCAATCACCTCTTCGGCTGCACGACGCTAGAAGACTCGAAAAGAGGTATCCATGACAGGCCAAAAGGATGCCGCGACGCACTCCAGACGACCGAATGGGGCCACCAAGCGGCCCAAGAGGCTGAGGAGGGCCTAAGAGACTCGCGAGACGTGTCCAGAAAGCGTTCCGGGTAGGGAACATAAAATGAAACATGGAGTCTTCCAGTCCAAAAGATGTTCGGGGGGCTGCAAGAGTAGCAAACGGGTTCCAATAATTCCGCTAGAAGGCTGAAGATGTTCCAAGAAGGTCCAAGAGGGTTCCAATATTACCCAAGCGGGACAGGAAAGCGACCACTTTTTGGGAAAATGCATGTGGGGCGTCGACCGTCCCAAAAAGTGGTTGGTTTTCGGCGTTCATCTCCAGTGGGGCGGCGGCAGGCGCGAGCCCGTTGCGCGCGTCCTGATTGCGCGGTGATTCTCCTCAGTCGGAGACCGAGGTAGGCTAGAAGAAAACACTGCGGCAGAGAGGTTGGTGGTAACGCGCTCCAGCGTTAAATCTCCTACACGGCATCGCAAGGGGGGGCGCGGGGGCGGGCGCCTGGGAGTAGCAGGTGGTAGCCAGTTCGAAAAGTATTGGAAAAGGTGGCGCGCGTTGGACGGGAAGGCATGGGGGCGCGTCGAGCGGGGAAAGCCACGGATAGGACAATGGTTCGGTGAAGACACGAATGGCGCAGCTTTCCTGGGAATGGAAAAATGCAGGACTGAACAACAAGAGAATAGCAGGACGACAGATTAATTATGTTCGGGCGTGGTTCTCTTGTTTGTTTGGGCGGGGCGGTGTGTCCGTGAAGTTCCTTCCGCTTGCGTTCCTCATGTGATTGTTTGCGCGTTAGTTGCGAGCTGTCGGGTTGGCCCAGGCAAGCGCAGAGGTTGGGCCGCATGGCCTGGGCCGGCTGCTCTTCGGAGACGCTTGCGGGACTGCGAAACATTGCCGAATTGGCCGAAGAGGGGTCCGAAGAAAACCCGAAGGCATCGCTGGAGCAGCGCGTGTGTTC